AAGAGACTGCTGGGGAGCCAGGTGGCTTAAGGGATAAAGTCCTGGCATTGCAGCTTGAGTCTCTCCTGAGCTCTTTAATTTGCATTGGGGTGCAGCTTCTCCCTGTAGCTGTGGGAGAAAACATCCATCAGAGCCTTGCTGGTGGCCATCAGCGTGGCTGCTCCAAGGTGCAGAAATGTTTCTTTTCTTTGTGAGAGCTTGTCCCTGGGTTGGATGTGCACTGGCCTTGTGCTGTACCTTGTGCTGCATAGAACCATGGAATCAGAATGATTTGGGTCGGAAGGGACCTTAAAGCCCATCTCCTTCTGCCCTCTGCCATGTGCAGGGACACCTTCCACTGTCCCAGGCTGGTCCAAGCCCTGGCCAGCCTGGTGTTGAACACTTSCAGGGATGGGGCAGCCACAGCTCTTCTGGGCAGCTGTGCCAGGCCCTCCCCACCCTCCCAGGGAAGGATTTGTTCCCAATATCCCATCCAACCCTGCCCTCTGTCAGTGTGCAGCCATTACCCTGTCCTGTCACTACATGTCTCATGCAGTACAGCCTGTCCTGGGCWTACAGGCAGGGGCTCCACCAGGCTCCAGCCTGAGTCACGCTCCACGTGAGCATTGTCTGCAGCCTTTTTAGTAAAAGACCATCTGATTTTAAGAGCTTGGTCTCTTCTGTAGAGAGATCTGAAAAATTGGTTTGATATTTAGCTGACAACTGTGAAAGGAGTGTAGTGAGAAGCATGTGATGGATAASGTTTTCCTTCAGACTGTGGGATACATTGAAAGGGAAGCTTGGCAGAATATTTGAAATCTGTCTCATAAAATAACCCACACGCTCAGTTTATCCAGCCTCAGCAAACTAGACCCAACCTTTTTTCCTTATCTTTTAATCTTCTGAGCTRAGCTAAGTAATGGGATCGTACTTACTAGAGCTTTTGAAAGTTAGATTGTAGGCTGCTTAGTCTGTAAAAGCAGTGTATACACAGAACATCTGAACTGYGCTTGTAGGGAAATGTGTGTTAAAATGAGTGTAGCTTTTAAAATTTATCCTTTTCCCCCAGCTTTTGGAGCAGCCTTTGTCATGAGGGTTCCCTGTGGGACTTCTTCTGAGGCTTTTGTTGGAGAATCAATCCTGTTCCTRTGGCCATTTGCCACAGTGTAAATCTGTTATTTGCATTGAAATTAAATCCATGCTGTCTGTCCCATACACCCCCTCTGTGGGACAGTAATAAGATTTCCATTTCTGGGACTTTTGAACTGGTTTATCAGAGATGAAGCAGTTGAGAACTGTTGAGAGGAGGGGCTGCACTGCAGCTGTCCCGTGCAGAGGCTGAGCCTTGCCTTGAGGGTGTCAGGATGTACTGGGATGTGTCTCCAGGCTTAATTGCTTGGCACATTTGCATGAAAGAGGCCTTGCAGTAATGAAAGCAGTAAAACTTCATCCACAGAAAGCCCTCTGCCAGGAGAGGTCAGAATCGATTGGGGCTCCAAGCTTGGAGCATGGCAGAAAGAAAGGAGGAGCTGGAGCAGTCAGGCTCGCCCTGCCATTGCTTAACCAAACATTGTCCAAGAGGTGCCTCTTCCAGGTCACTCTGTGGCTGAGGGATGCTTTGGCCTCCTGGTACACAAATAGCAACACTTGTGTCTGTAATTGAGCATTTTGGCARCAAATGTTCAGCTGACAGCGGCCCATCGTGGTCTGGTTTTGGGAARAGGGTGGATCTGAAGAACATCAAACAAAACTGCTTTGGGCTGAGCCAAGCATTAATGGCCTTCAGCTCTGTTTGTGGTGTGTGTTTGTAGCAGGGAACAGGACCAGSATCCCCAGGATTAGGAAAATAAACGAGGTGCAGGCAGTTCCTGTGGGGATGGGCTCCCAACGTCGCAGGGACAGAGCTGCTGCTGGTCCTGCCTGGGCAAATCTCCCACCACCATTGCWCGAGTGGGCAGATGGAGGGGGGATTTGGCCTTGGAGGTGTAATTTAGGAGATATTTTCAGCTCTGCAGCTGGTGGGTTTGCCTCCCAAGGAAGGTTTCCTAGATGTGTGAAACCATCATTGCTCAAAACCCTTCCAAATCATGCCATGGGTGGAGGGGCTTTCTTGGAGGTTCTAGGAGCCAATGTTGGCCTCTCAAATTAGCAATCTTCAGTTTTAATCTGTCTGGTAGTCTGGAAAAAGGAGATTAATTATTTTGTTTTGTTCTAGTCTTTTAATTTACAGCACACTGGAGTGAATGAACTTCAAATGCTTTGGATCGGAATATGGAGTTTGATGTGCTCTAAATCTCTGTGGTCTCTAGAGCTAAGGACTTGCAGTTGCAAAAGGGTGGAAGGACAAATAGGACTTTTTGTAAAATGCCTTTAAAAAAAATGAAAAGCCAAGYGTGAGAAAACAAACTGGGAGTTTCTGGTTTGTAGGCTGAAAGAATTCTCCTTGGTGAAACTGCACAGGCCAGCTCTTAGGAAGGGTTTGCAAACTCTCTTAGTTGAAGAAAGGCCATAAAAAGCCGGAAGAAAATCCAGCAGAGAAAAGCAAATTAGGTCCCGAAGCGGGGGAATTTTAACTGGTCTTGAATTTGACAACTGGAAAGAAATCCATCTGGTTCTGGGTTTCTGAGGGTGGATGTGCGAGTGTTTTGCACAAAGCGACGCCTTGCAGAGGTCTCACATCCTTTGAGGAAGAGGAGACAGAGCTCTGGCCTGGGAAGAGCTTTTTGTGCAGCAGGAGGAGCCCCTTGGTCCCTGTGGGTGCTGCTGGCTCTGCTGTGGCTTTGTAACGTGGCTGAGCAGGGTGAAGATGAGCACCATGAGCATCCTCCAGCCACAGGGACAGGAGCTGGTGGCAGTGGGGACACCGAGCAGTGCAGGAAGGGCTGTGTTTCCCCAGCCTCCACCACCAGCCCTCCGTGCCTTTTGGAGAGTGCCCAAGCAGTAAATTTCAGCTTTATAGCAACATTTGGTCTTGCTGTACAAATTGCTGAGCTTAACAGGGACAAAGGGGCGACGCTTTACAAACTACCCTGGATTAAAGCAAGRCCATGGAGATGATGGTCTGCAGGTCCTTTGCTGGAGGAGGTTTCCATTCCAGGAACAGCTGCCAGTCCCTGCTCCCCAGCAAAGGTCTGGATGGTGCCAGTGTGGGGGAGCACACGAGGTCAGAGGAGAGGAGCCAGCCCTGTCCTCCTGAACGTGAATCTGAGCCATGAGGCACAGATAATTAAAGGTAATGGCTTTCTAAAAGCATTGCTCTCAGTGCTGCCAGCCATATGAGCCATTGCTTCTTTCCCAAAAAAATGTTTATGATCCTTCTTTTCCTCTCTGCAACATGGTTGAGTGTTTTCTTTATTTCCCTTGAAATAATAATGTAAATCTGGGAATTGGAAACCCACAGCCTGCTTGTATATATATTTTTTAAAGAACATAAATTGGGGAACAGTTAAAATTATATTATTCCTGGCAGCAAMATTCCTTTTTTAATAGACAATTTGAAGTTATTATGTTGGAARCAGCTTTCCCCACGTGTGTGTGCATGCATGGTGTGGAGGGAACTGTGCCAAGAGGGCTCTGGGCTGCTTCTGAGGCACTGGGAGCTTGCTGGAGGCTGCAGGTTTTCAGCTGAGGATAGGAAAAAACCCTCAAAGGCACCATCTTGCAGTTCTCAATTAAGCTTGGTTTTATCAATGGGCGTTTTGCCTCAGGAAGAACTGAAGAATTGGACTTTCAGGGTCTGTTTCCAGCAGGATCTGGTTTTTACTTCCCTTAGCTGTTCATTTTTACAAGGTTTGGGAGCGCCAGTGCATTCTCCTATGCACCAGTGATAGACATTTGTTTCCAATTAGTATTTATTGGATTATTTTGGTCAAAAGTAAGCTTTGTATCAGAGCCCCACAATATTYACTTTGTTATTCACAGGAAGGTGTTTTCTTTCCCTGTTTGGTTTTTCATCAGCTTCAGTCTACTGAAAAAAGCTGGTGGAGTGCAGCTCTGTTGGGGAGCTGCCCTAGAACAAATAAATCCAGATTAAACAGATTCCAGCCTCTTGCACAGCATCTTTGTCTTCCATCAGTCCAGGCATGTTTGTGACTCACASGGCTGCAAATAGCAGCCAAAGTGTGTCCATGGGCTGTGTCCAGCTTCCTGCTGCTGTTCCCCATTGCTGGAATCAGCTCCTCTCCCCATCAGGAGTTTTTGCAGGTAAAGCCTGGCTCAARTGTCATTAGGCAGTAGGTACTGCTTGGTTTGTGGGTGTGGATGGGACTGACTAATACAGCACACCCATATGTATGGAATTCCATGTGTGTGGAATAACACATAGGTAATGTTTGACATGGGTGAAATGGGAAATTAATGTGGAAAATTTGTGGTTTAATGGCAGCCGAGTTCCTGACTTGAGGTCATATGACAAAAAGATTTCCACAGTTTACCTTGGGACTTAAAAAGCAAATGGAAATATGAATACCAAGCTAAACCCTTGACTGATGTGTTTCTCACACTGTAAATGACTGATCTTATTTGGGGAGAAAAGCTGCTRAAATGAGCATGGATCTGTGTGGACAAGGGTAGCTGCAAGTGAAAATCCCTTGGCCTCAGGTGTTGCCCATGGAGCTGCTTGGTGTGGGTTTATCCTGTTTTGCTGATGGAAATGGGAGTGATGGCCCTGAAGTTGGGAGCACAGCAAGTGCCCCCAGAGTGATGGAACACAGAATGAGAAGCAGACTCCAGGCATTATTTTAAAGAAGCAGCAGATATGCTTTTACAGGAGAATAAATGCAGAATATTTGGCACCAACTCACTGTAGAGAAACAGCTTCATTTGGTTGGGGACTGAGGGGAGCTGTGTAGATTCAGCATGATTTAACTGCAGGTCAAGCCTGAGTTTTCCTTTTCCTGCTGCACATCCCTGTTTTCCACAGCACACATAAAACATTATTACTGCAAACTGCACGTCCCAACACAGCCCCTCCATGTACATCACTGCAAATCTCAGGTTTTTCTGCTCTCTTTCTRTTCCAGGACAATGGCCCTGCCCAGAGCAGGAGATCAGTGCCCCACGGATCTGGGGGCAGCCCCATGGACAGCAGGCAGATGCTGAACGTGCAGCACCACCAGCCCACGCGGCTCTACGCCAACAGCAGCTCCGAGTCGGCGCTCCCAGGACAGCTGAGYGGACTGCACATCTCTCCTGCCCACAGGTAGGACCAGGGCAGGGCTTCAGCTCTCCCTCTGCTGCTGCTCAGGTTCAGGGAGTGCACAGAGGTGCTCCTGCAGCTCCAGAGATCATGGAATCTTAGAGTTCATTTCAGCTGGAAAGATGTCCAACACCATCCTGTCCAACCCTGCCAAGTCCACCAAGATGCTGGGCTGGGCCCCTGCTTTGGTCAGATGTATGTGGGAGAGAAAAAAAAAAAACAGTGTCATGGTTTTGCTTGGTCCAAATTTTGGTGGTGGGGGATGGGGATCAGGAAACCACAAAGATGGCTGCTGTGAGAAGTCCTAGGGGTGTCTCCTTCTTCTTCTTCTCCAGCAAAGAGAGTCCTGCCCCCGTCCTGTGTTTCAGAGCCAACCCATCATTGGTTCTGATGTTGATGGACAGGCTGACCATCAGGCCTGGGCCAATTACACAGGATAGTTACACCTCTGTGATGACGTATTTTGTAGTATTTAA